GCCCTTTTTATTTTTCTATTTTTGAGATAAGATCTCACTAAGTTGTCAAACCCAGCTTTGACCTTGGGATCCTCCTGCCTCAGCCTCCCAAGTAGCTGGGATTACAGGCCTGCATCAACATGCCCAGATATATAATATTGGAGATTTTTATAAAGATCCAAATGGAGTTTTGTCAGGTGGCCTATTTAATAGCATATCCAAGTTAAGTATAAAGTTTAGAAGAGGAATTTAGGATTGAGGTGAAGATATAAATTTGGATATCGTGTCACATTGATAGTGTCTAATACTGTGAGATGGGGTATGATCCCCTAAATGATGAGCACAGAGTAGGATATCTTGGCTGCCTGGCTCCAGCTGCTAACATTTTAAGCCAGATAAACTTTTTTCTTTTTGAGCATGGCAGGAGTGTTTGTTCTTATGTGCTGTGTGATGTTTCGCAGCGTCCCTGGTCTTCACACACTTAATGCCATAAGTGCGATGCTCCCTCTTTACAGTATAACAACTCCACAGAGTGTCTCCAGGCACTGCCAAGTGTCCCTGGGGGAGCAGAGCCCTCCCACTGATACAGAGAAGAGGTTCGAGGTCGGGGTGAGGCTTAACATTGTCTGTGACATGCTGTCTAAAGCATCTTTGCTGCCCTGGATTTTTCTTTTAGGAGCTGGGATGAACCCAGTACCTCCCAAGAGGATGTGCTTTACTATGGAGCTACACCCTCATTTTATTTTTGTTTTTTTAATATTTATTTATTTATTAGTTGTAGTTGCACAATATACCTCTATTTATATGTGGTACTGAGGACTGAACCCAAGGCCTCGCACATGCTAGGCAAGTGCTCTACCACTGAGCCACAAGTCCAGCCCCCACCCCCATTTTATTTTTATTCTTAATTCACAACATTCTTGTAACTTTTGTAGTTATATAAAACAGCAGGGAAGCTTTAAGTGACTGCTGACATTCCCACAGCAAATTGAGGTTGGGCCGTGGGTTGGAACTGAGGGACCCAGTTTTATTCTGATGTTGTAGATCACACTGTTGATGAGGTTTGCTGGCAAGCAAAGTTGGTTGCCTGGGCTCTGAAGGTAATTTAGACACTAGTGTCAGGTTGTGCAGACCTTCTCATTCACCTGTGAGAGCTGCAGAAGAATTTGTGGCCAAGGAGGAAGTGTAGTGCAGAGCAGCTAAGGGACCTGCCCCAGCTCTGTGGCAGTTGAGCACATTCTGTACCTTAGGGGACTTGCCAGAAGACTTGATGATATTACGATGATTCTCTTTTTGAAAACCCAGAAGAGCCAGTAAAGTTCTCCCAGCTTTGCTGGTGTTTTCATTGGCATGGGTCATGTGTGTATTTTTTAAATAAATTAAGCAAACACTGTGGACTTAGAAAATGTCTTTTGTTGTTTGTAATGTTGCTATCTGAAAATAAAAAGTATGTCCAGGAACTCTCCCTTTTGTACCTCAACAGCTTCAAAAGCTGTCCAGCTCCATTTTATTTGCTTTGAGGCTCAGAGCATTGTCTTAGACTTTTCTGATGCTAGGCAGTCTTGTAGCAAAAATGGAGCTAGTGTCCAGGATTGCTGTTGTACTTATTTGGGTTGTAAGGATGCTTTCTTCTGTACTCAAATTCAGCATTTTTATTTCTAATGAATATTTCAGAGTTGAACTAGTGAAAGTACAGGTTCAAATAGATAAAAGTGTAATTCTGAAGTGTGTGAATTTATCTGCAGGTATGGATGTTCAGGTTTCAAATTAATTAATTGTTCTCAGCTCAGTCTGCTGTGACTGTATTCTAAGAAGACTAACAGAAAATATTGTACCTCAGGGAAGATGTGGGCTTCCTTATGGCTCAACTTAAAGTGAGGCCCTTTCCAGAGTCCCTTGGAAGGATCTGAGGGTCTTGGGCATTTTCCCCGTGATGCTGTTGCCTTAAGGACTGATTAAGTCAAGCTAAAATTGATTGTTTTACACAAAGTTAGCCTTGATACTATTGAGTCAGAAAGCGAGATCTCCTGGGTACTCAGCCTGTGCTAATTCCTATCTCCAAATAATTTACTGATTACAAAGTGATCAGCCCATAGGAAAGAATGAGAGCCAGTAAAGGTAAAGTAAGCTGAGTTCCAGGTGACTTTTTAAATGCTCACAGGTGTTTGGGAGAAGAAAACAGTAAGGTTTGGAGTAGTTAAGATATGGTATTTTGATGGATTTGAACTGAATTAGAGGGAAGAATCACCACTTTCAGGAAGGCCCAGAGGCAGCCACGGGCAGGGTGTATGCAGGGGACACTGGCCAGCCAGCTGGCTGCATGAGCTTAGAAAGGGTGGGGCGAAAAATCCGAGGAAGACCTTTGAGAGCCACGCAAAAGAGGGTTCCGTGTTTAATGTGAAAGGAAACAGAGCCAGCAGTGCTTCTGAGCAAGGACGGGTCAAGATGTAACCCAATATGACCGGGACCAAGGAGAAGACAGCTTACTCTATTCCTTTAACCAGCTAGCCAGCCAGCCATTGTGAGGGGCGATGCCTGTGAGTTAATCATGAGATGGCCAGGGCAAATGATAGCTTTTAAGGAAAGGGTAGTTGACAAAAAAAGGTTGTAAGAGCTTGAAAGTGTGAGAGGAAGTGGGACCAGCAGCCTTACCTGTGTCTTAGCAGAGCTCCCATAATGCAGTGACAATGGCTGTGTGGCTAGGAAGGAGGATAAGCTGCTTTTCTTTGGGTGTCCTCCCCATAGGAACTCTCTCCAGTCTCTTTCTTCCTTTTAGGAATCTGCTTACTCTAAGAGATGCCCACAGAGAGCTCTGCGAGCACCCTACTTGGATTCTATCATATTGATTCATGGTGTCTTTAAGCTAGAAGAAGTCCAAATAGCAGATAACTTTTTCTGACATCTTTCTGAAGATGGAAAGGGAAAGTCATATTCAGATAGGATCCTTCATTTCCTTGTCGAACTTTTAATAAAACAGTTTCATTGAGCTATGTTGGAGTTTGATGGCGATTCTCTTAATCTGAAGGGGGGTGGTAAGTGAAGCTGTAGAGTTGCTTTTAGCCCTGGGTAGCTTGGATGAATGGGAGGAGGAAGGCTGGAGGGTGCATGGAGGGAAGAAAGGAGGTTAGACAGACATGGGTGATAGGGAGGCTAGAAGGATGGGTGGTGAAGGGTTGGTAAGTGGAAGGAGGATGGCTGGATAGAGAAGTTCCCCAGTGGCATTATATTTAGTTAAGAACAACAGAAAAACTGTTCTAAGAGGTAAGTATGAAAAATGGATATAGAAGGCTTTTAAAAAGATACTAAGGAGCTGGGGCCATGACTCAATGGTAAAGTGCTTGCCTAGCACGTGTGAGGCCTGGATTTGATGCCCAGCTCTGGGGGAGCAGAGAGGTTGAGCACACATATGCACGTGCAGAAGACTGTGAACTAAGCCTGCCCTGGGATCAGCCCTTATGCCTTAAAAGTAAGTTTTTTCCAGTTCTTTGCCGGTTCTTACCCTTATCATCAGCTAAGACAAGAAATTTTTGAATTTGGGGGGGATTTTCCCACGAAAGTGGCTTGAAAAGTAACATTAAGTCATCGGTAGAAGTCCTCTCATGCTGAAGTGGCCCTTCTATACCACCAGCAAGCTACCTTGCACACAGTGGACTGTGTGCAGTCAGTAGTCACCAAGGAAGGCCCTGGTTTGAATATCCTCAGAGAGTGCTCAGCATTCTGCCTGTTACTCCAGCAGGCTTAATTTCATTTCTAGTTAATGAGAGACTGATGGTTGATCAGGCCATGTCAGTCTCTGGCCCCTGCCACCCAGGCCAGGCCTGTGAGCTGGGCCTCACCACACCATGTTTGCAGTACAGGATCAGGACAGAACTTGGTACTAAACCCTGTATTCTTCTGTGTTTGCATTCAGTGTACATAAGTGATTTAAAAAAAAAAAAAAGAAGAAGAAGCACTAGGCCGGTGAAGCGCTGACCGGGACTGGCCCAGGAATGAGGAGGAGGAGGAGGGCCTCATGGTGTTATCTGATGCTGCCATCAGTATACACTGGGAGAGCATGTTATTTCGCAGCCATGCAGCAAATGCTCCTGTCTTTTATTAACCTGTGTGAACCTTTTTATTTATTTAAACCAAATCACAAATAAAAGCAAAATAAAGACAGGTATGTGAAAGTCTCTGTGTTGTGGTGGTTTATCTTAAACAAGTTTTCATATAAAGAGTAACCCAAAAAGCTTTCAGTGAGACAGCCTTTTTTCATTAGGAATTTTGGCCGTCTCCTTTTTTTCCTAGAAGGTTAGTTAGAAAACAGAGAATTGGCTCAGCGGTGCAGCACCTTTCACAGTTCCTTCCTTCATTTTACTGACATTTCATTCCATTGTATGCACGGCACAAATAATCAGCAAGAACAAGCCCTACCCCGCACAGGCAGCCTGCTCTCCTGATAGCACGTCACTGACTACTATTCAAAATTGAATGAACTTTAAAAAAATTCTAGCATATAGTTAATGTGTTCTCATTGACAGTTTAAAAAATATATATTTTAGTTGTTGATGGGCCATTTATTTATTTGTATGTGGTACTGAGACTCGAACCCAGTGTCTCACACATGCTAGGCAAGCACTCTTCCATGGAGCTGCAACTCCGGCCCTCATTGACAAGTTTTTTTTTAGTATAGACTTGAGCATCCCTAATTTAGAAATCCAAAATGCGACAAAATCAAAACTTTGAGAACATCAATATAATGTCACCACTAGTGGAAAATTCCACACCATGAAACTTTGTTTTATGCACAAAATTATGAAACTGAAATTATTTGTATAAGGTATATACAAAATAAGTGAATTTCATTTGTAGACTTGGATCCCACTCCCAATATACTTTTTTTTTTTTTTTCGGGGGGGCGGGGGTGTCAGGGATTGAAAGCAGGGCTGCTTTACCACCAAGTCACAACCCCAGTTTTTTTTTTTTTTTTTTATTCTAAGTTGCTGAGGCTGACCTTGAACCTTGTTATCCTCCTGCCTTAGCCTCCCCAGTTCCTGGGATTACAGACAGGCACCATCATGCCCAGCTCAATATATCCCGTGCTATATATGCAAATCTTCAAAAATCCCAAACACATCTAGTCCCAGCCATTTCAGGTAAGAGATATACAATGTGTACCCCTTTTTTGGAAAGGTGATTTTGACCTTCGTGGTTTTGGGAAGAACTCTAAGGTGTTGCAGGTGTGGGGCTGATCCATGCACTGTGGCTTTTGAAAACTGCAAGTAGAGAAGGTCCTGACTAAAGTAGGATATAAAAATGTTTGTGTGTGTTGTGTTGGTTTTTTGAGACAGGGTCTCTCACTGTTGCCCACACTGGTCTCCTGGGCACAAGCAGTCCATGGTGTCCAGCCACAAGTCATTTTCTGGTTTCAAGTATTTGTGTCCTCTGTAAATATGGTTAAATGAGTTTGGCTGCTGATCTTTATGTGATAGGACAAGATTCCTCATAGACAAGGGTGGCCTTCAGCATCAGATTCACCAAAATCACGTTTAAAGACAAGTCATTGATGTCAGATTAGTTAGTATTGGCATCTGCTTTTCTTGCAGATAAAGAAGAGCTGCTAGTTACCCCAGAAGACAGCGAACACTCTCTGTATTTCCCCAGTCTTCCTTTAGGACAGGATGGTGTTGGCCCCCGGAACTGTGACACCAGCTCGTAGAGCTCTAGCAGAGTTCTGGGGACAGGCCTTCCATCTTGAACATACATACCTCCATCCCTCTGCTAGGAAAGGCACTTCCCACTTGGTCTTCTGCCATGGGATGCCCTGGACAAACTGTTCTTGAATTCTTTGCCAGCTTTCTCCTGTACAACTGGTGTTGAGTTTCCCGTGTTCTGTGATCCACGATAATCCTACATGCAGGGACTCTAGATCATAGAGTGGTTTCGAAATAGGATTGGCTCTCTCTCCCTTCCTTGAACTGATGGTAGTTGATTGGGGGAAGCAGAATAATCTTGTTCCTCAAGCCACCTTTCTGCACCAGTTAAGCATCAGGCACTCCTCCCCTGGGTTAAAGGAAATTGGGTAGCATTCTTCCTTTGGAAAAGCACAGAACCTCAGTCATTAAATAGAGGATCCATGATGACTATAATCTAAGCTAGTTAAATCCGACGCTTAATGATCTGAGGGCCAGGACAGTCAGGTGGGAATCTGAAAGTGGTCATCTCTTTCCCCTGACAATTGCACAGAACCCCCTGTGTTTATCTGTTAAACGGGAAGCACAGCAGCTCTAGAGGAAAGTCTCATGTTCCCTTCTCTGCGTGTTCCACACCAGTCACGGCCCATCCCTGCACTGTAGAGACGCACAGGCAGGGTGGAGCTCTGGGCCAAGAAGCAGTTACTTTTAGGGTAAAGGGGGAGATATTTCATAGAAAACAATACTATTTGCTTTTCAAGTTGTCTTTGTGCACTTTTTTCCTGCACAGAAGCCTGGTGTTAAATCTTAGAGAACCTAAGCTTCTGTTGCTCTCCCTGTTCACTCTGGATGAGCGGGTGTTGGGAAATGCTGAGTTAGCAGCTTGTTTTAAGCGGCTTTACCTCCTACCTCTGGGGCACATGGCCTTCCTTGGAAGTTGTGCCAGGTGGAGTCTGAGAGCCCTTTGCCACCCTTGATTGAGCTGGTAGTGCCGAGGCTGCTGACAGAGCTGCCGCCTTGGCTTGCTTGCTGGAGGCATAGTTGGCTCAGGGATCAGCAGGTCTTGTGTGGGATTTTGGCATTTAAGCACCAGCTGCTCCATTTACCAGTTCTGTGCCCTCGATCAGGTTACCTCACTTCTCTTGAGCCGGGAGATCATGTTTGTCTCAGTGGATCCTTTGTGAGGATTAAAGAGAACATTTCAGGCACTGTGGCCATGCTTGGCGTGTGGCTGAGCTCCTCAGTTAGGCCTGCCCATCCTGGGGCTCCCTCCTCCCGATATTTTGTTCAGTGATACCTCAAAGCAGTAGATTCTGGTCTTTGGGGGATTTATGTGGAAAAACACAGTGGTGAGGGGGATTCCGTAATTTCCACAAAGAAGAAAAAAAACTATGGAAAATTTAATCTCATGGTCTGGCCTAAGCATGACCAGAAGATGTTTCTCTTAGAATACTGTTTGCAGCTTCCTGAGCCAGGCACTTTGTGTCAACTCCCAAAACCTTAAATCTGGAAAGGTTCTGGAGCAAGCTGAGGTGGGTGGAGGGAAGAGTCCCCACCAGGGTTACTTGGTGAGTGGGTGCAAAGCTGGAAGCAGCATCCAGTTTCCTCCCGGGTCTGCACATCAGCATCCCACTGCAGTAGGAACTGGGAGGGTCCTGCAACTCTCATCACCTCCCCTATCTTTTCCTAGGCCCTAGGAGGCTGTGACCAAATGGATGGCATGAACCAGACACTTATCCCTAAGCCTACGCAACTATTTAGAAACCTGGCTTTGGAAGGGCCACTGTTGTAGGACATGGGGGGTCTGACACTCCAGGCAGTAGCCCGAGAAATCCTATCCTCCTCCAATTCCCAATTCAATGAGTGTCTCTTGGGTGCCTGCTAAGGGCTAGGTACCGTGCCTGCAGGGTGACAGCAAAGAAAGCACACTAACGATGAAAAGGGATTCTGATCATAGGCAACCCTGCAAACTGGCACTTTTATTCCTTTTCAAAGAAATCTTTTTTGTGTGTTTGTTTTTTTAAAGCACTCATTCTGGCTCTGCCCATGTTCAATCAGACTAATGAAAAAACGTGATCTTGGTCTCCCTGTGCCTTCCTGCTCTGAGTTGGGCTCAGATTCGGGGTTCTTCCTGTGGTCATCCAGCACGGGGAACACTCCTCAGGTCATTTCTCGTGGGGATGACTGAGTGCTTGCTCTTCACACCAGCTAATCCCTGCAGCCTCTAGGCCTGTGTGGGATATAGGGGTACTGGCTACCAGTCAGCTGTGCACTTTCAGGTCTTACATTAAATGATTTCACCAAGGAAGAGGGGAGGGCAGAGTGAGGCACACCATCCTGCAGTGTGTGATGTGACTGCTTTTGGTGTTGGCACATCTCATCTGGTATCTCATTCTGAATCTAAAGGAAAAGCAAGACCAGGAAGCCTTTTCCACCCAGCCAGACACATGGAAAGTGACTTTGGGAATTTGTAGTAAGCCCCAAGGAGAACAAAGAACACTGCGGCCCGCAGACTTAGGTTTGAGTCCTGGCTATGCTTCTTACCAACCTTGAACAAGTCTTTTTAGTCTGTAGTAAAAGAGGCATCTCCCAGATAGGTGTGGCCATATTCACTTGCTTTCAGGGCAGAGGTGAGGACTAATGACAGCAAAGTACCAGTTCCTAGTACTGTGCCTGGTCCTGGTTGCTGGCTATATGGTTGCGGTTCCTGCCATGTTGTCTCCATTGTTACAAGTGTGTTAGCCAAGCTGGGCATGGTGGCACATGCCTGTAATCCCAGTGGCTAGAGAGGTTGAGACAAGAGGATCGGGAGTTCAAAGCCAGCCTCAGCAACTTAGCAAGGCACTAAGCAACTCAGTGAGACCCTGTCTCTAAATATACACTATAGGACTGGGGATGTGGCTCAGTGGTCAAGTGCCCCTGAGTTCAGTCCCTGATATCCAAAAAAACCCAGAAAGTAGTGCATGAGGGTGTTCAGCACAGAGGACGAGACACTATTGACAAGAAGGGAATAGGAAAGCTTTGGGACCTGGGTGGGTGAAGGTTGGCACCAACTGATCCACTTGCAGCAAGATGAGCAGTGTCTCCCCTCTCTGCACTGCATGATTTGGTGAGAAACACACAGCCCTTGTCTGTGACTGGGGCATCCTTCTGGCTCTCCTGGGGACCCTAGATTCCCGTGCTTGGTTTGGTTGTCAGGCTGCCTGTGTGTCTGCCGTCACTGACTGTCTTCACTCTCTTCCAGGGGCTCCACGGGCCTTACCCCTTCGGCCAGTCTTAAACGGGTGTCAGCAAGAAGAAAAATTAACAAAAGACAGAAGGCCCGACTTTGGGGGGGAGGGCAAGGGGTTCCTCTGGATTGCAAACCACATCGCACGGATCCCTGCTCTGATCTCCCATCCCGGAAGAAGAGGAAGAAGCAAAACAGAACTAGTTTTGAGTAAACTCAGTATGCATGTGTGAATGCTGAATCCCAGGAATGGTGTTGAGGCTACCAAGAAGAGATCCATGCAGCCACCTTGGGCTCTGCTTATTAGGTGTCAGTCTACCAAGTCGTTAGGTCACTCGGGAAGGGGGAAAAGTTTTAAATGGGGGAAAATAAGCCATCTTTTTAAACAAAAATTATTTTGCCTACAGAGAGGTTGTAGCTTTGAGCACATGTTAATTTTCCCCCTTTCTTCTCTTTTATTTTTTTAAGGAAGGGATAACACTCTATAGAATAGTGCTTGCTCTGGAAGCCACTCAGGTTGAAGCCGGTGGCAAGCTTGGGGCCCCCGCGGGTCAGCGCTGCAGGAGCGCACTGCCGAGCCGCCCGGCCCCGGGAGCCTGAACCATTTGTTTTCAGTGACATCACCCTCCCTCTCTATCTAATCCTCTGTTGATTTACACCTTTGACATTAGTGTTTGTCAACCCTGTGGCTTGTGAGCATCAGAACCTCTCTGAAGACCAAACTTCCCTGTGTGGCCAGCAGAGGAAGCCTTGAGGACAGATCTCTGCTGAAGTGGGAGTTTCTGAGGCCGAGAGGTGTCCTTCTGCACACACTGGTAATAGTTCAGATTGTTCCTCTTCATGTTCCTCTTGGCAGAGAATGCCACCACACTTCCTGCCCTCCATTCTTCATGCAGTGGCCCCCATTCACTCTGGGGACAGCACCTCTGCTGGGTAGATGCGTGCGCCTTGTGTGCACGTGGGGCTGGTGCAGCTCGCCAGCCCGCGCACAGCAGCAGCAAGCTCTTCTCTGTCACCGCACAGCTCCCTTCCTCCGTGTCCTTTCAGTTGTCCTCTGTAGTGTCTCCACAGCCTGTTAGTGGAGGCCGAGCTGTTAAGATATGAAAATACAGCCCCGAGTGGGGAACTGGTCACGGGAAGGACCACAGCCACTGACTGCTTGATCTTGGAGACCACATTTAGGTGGAAATGAGAGACCCCCGCCCCCAGCAGGAGGCCTGGTCCATGGTGGGCGTGGGCCTGCCGGTGTCCTGTGGATTCCAGGCAGGCTGGATGTGGACGTCTCGTGGGAAGCTTGAATCAGGCTAGAACAGCTGTCTGCCAAAGATACTCGAATATGCAAAGTCCCTCTCTCTTCTCAGCCCCCTCCTTCCCTAAGTCTAGTTGGCTTGAGAGCAGGGAGATGGATCCAGGGTGTGGTTGCAGGGTCCCCTACCTGTGATCACACCCCTTTCTGCTCCAGGGAGGTGAGAAGAGCAGGGAGACCCGGGATGAGTGGCTGCAAGGGGTCAGATGGCCTGGGTGTGGGTGAGGATCTGCCTGCCTGCTTGTCTCTGTCTCTGGGTGTCTGAGTTCCAAAAAATGTGTGGTGTTTGTTGCTCCTCCTCCTCTTCTAAGACTGTTTTTAAATGCTTGATTGTGGGAGAAAAGCTTGTATGACATTTTCCCTTTCATCTCTCCACCTCCCAAAAAAACTAACCGGGGAATAAACTGGCTCACTGTGGAGCCCGTAGAGGGCTGGGCTGGGTTGGGCTGGACCAGGGCTTCTCTGCAGCACCTACTTTCTATGCACATGAGTGCCCCACTCCCCAGCAGAGCCCAGGGGAGACCCTGCCGGGGGCCCACATCACACGGCTCAAGATAGTCTTTTGTTGGTGCCAATCTCCTAGGACACTGCCACCCTGGAATGCGCACCTGCTTGCTAGCCTTGAAGCAGGGGCTCTCCAGTGGCCTTTGGCAGGATCGTGGGAGGCTTCATGACCCCTCCTTTCCTGGCTTCCCCACCTGCCCCACAGTAGGTGCCCATCCCACTTTCCCCACAGGGCTACCTGCTCTGACTCAGCAGGGGCGCCAACCAGCCAGGCAGCCACCCTCTTGAAGTCCAGCCCTGCCAGAGCCATCCGCTCCTCTTGCTTGTAGGCATCTTCCCCTGGCAAATTAGATGTCCCATGCACCTTGACTTCCTTCCTAAGAACAGTTTCTGAACCTGGCCTTGGAAAGATGAGCCTCAGGCAAGTTCAAGCCCTGCTCTGTGGCTTCCCAGGGTCAGAAGAGGGTCCTGGCCATTTGCTCTCCCTCCCCTCAGTGGCATGGCTTCTGAGCAGTGCTTGATGCCCCTTTCTCCTCCCCTGCCGCTTGGCTAGTAGAGGCTGCCTCTCATCTCCAGCAGCCCTTGCTCCTCTTAAAATTTTCTGGACAGGACCACCAGCGTCAGGCACCCAAGAAGCAAGGGCAGGTGCCATCTTTGGGTGATAGGGCCAGGGGGATGCGGTCTTGGGAAGAACCTGTCCGTGTGCATGGAGTGAAAGGTGTGGGTGTGCCCACGCGTGTGTGTGTGTGTGTGTGTGTGTGCATGCTTTTTCTTTTTGCCACGGTGACATTGAATTTGGGGCATTTTTTTCTACAAGAAACAGCCTTCTCTGCCCCAGTAAGGACTGGCTGTGACTTCAAGGCACTTTGAGCCTAGGAAAACCTCACCAAGACAGCCAGTGGCCTGGGGGCGCCAAGGTGGGAAGTGGGCATGAGAGTAAACACCTCCCCAAATTCAGTCCGACCCCCAGCAGGAGAGTGCGGCGGGGTTGCCAGGGCTCAGAAATGTAAACTGATCCTCTCCCCTCCCCCACCCGCCTTGTGCCTCGGTTTCCCTTTGTACCCTTGGGTGAATGCAGGGGCAGTGACGGCTGCCCCTTCCACCTGGATGGTGGTGTGTGTGGCGAGCAAGCTGGTCGGTGTGTGTGGTGGGGCCGATGGGGCCTAGGAGGAGGTGAAGACGAGGAGGTCTTTCCTGACTGTAAAGATGAATATTTGTATGATTAAATTAACACACAAAAAAAGCTCTGCATGTGTCTCTGAGTCTCATTGCACCTTCAAACCTGTGTGTGGCCCACTTGGCCTGATGGTGGCCCTGCGGGTCTCCCCTTTGCAGATGGGAAAGCTGAGATCCTAAGGATCATTGTATTGGGGGATGTCAGTCCTGGATTACAGCTGTCCTTCCTGGTACCCAGTGACCAGAAAGGCAAAGAAACTGATTCCAAATGACCTTTAGGTCACCAGGGTGCCACGCCTCTGTTGATCACTCCTCTGTTCCCAGCATGGAAGAAATACCAGCCAAGTGGTGTTGAGCAGCCGGCAGCCATTGCGTAGGCCCCGGCTGTGTGTCCAGCGCATGGCATAGTGAGATGGCAGAGCAGATATCTGGTCACCTTGCCTATCCGAAGAGCAGGCAGGACAGGGCTGGGGAGTCCTTGTCCCCACCTGGGCCCCTGGCTTCCTAGGTGAAGGTGGAATGCATTTTACCTGGTCCTTCAGTGGCGGGGTGTAGTTCCTGAGTGCTTAAAGGTCTCCTTGTGGGTTCATGACGGACTTGGGCTTTGGGGGGTCTGAGGTTGAGCCCACATTCTCCATAGTTGACGAGCCCACCCCACGTACTTCCCTGAGACAGCTTGACTTTATGGGGTTCAGGGAGCAGCCTGGAATCAACTTAATCGGCCAATACATGGCACATGGTGGGCTTCCTCACTTGACCCCTCCAGGTGGGTGGTATCTTCAGAACTCAGGTTTGTCCCCAGCGTCACCCCCTGTGAGAAGGAAGGAAGGGAGTCGGCCTTGGTCCCCACAGCTCAGGGGAGGAGGCAGGCTCAGACCATGGTCTCTCGGCTGCTGGCATCATTTTCACTGAACAGAAAAGCAAGACGTCCACCTGCAGGGTCCTGGACTGGGCCTCCCCGTGCCTGGCAGAACCGAGTTCCAAGTGATGATGTTTGCCGGGGGTCTGTGGTGCAGGAGTTGAGGGAGGAGGTGCCTTGGCACCTCCCGGTAGGCAGCTTAGGAACTTCTGGCCGCAGAGCGCATGAAGGAAACAGGCCCCACGAGGAGCCTGCCCCAGGGCCTGAACTCAGGCCTGCTGTTTCTCAGGGAGCAACCTGATACAGAGCCCAGGGTGAGGAGCCTGGAGACCCGCCCGGAGACCCCCCGGGGCAAGTGCCCTCCACCTAGGGCAGTGCACCTGCATCCTGCTTCCTTCCAGGTGCCCACAGCTGTTTGTTCTCTGCAGGGGAGGGACCTCCACCCTGTCACCTGGGTCTCCTGGCCACTCAGGCCCACTCCCAGGCCTCCCAGCACCCCCACTGCTGAACAGTTATTTGCTTGGCAGAATCTGTTTGTCTTTGGGGCTGTAACCTGTCAAGAAGTCACTGGGCCCTGGGAGAAAAGAGCAAATTTGGTGGTAGCTTCTGGCCTGAGCCATTCCCACGGGGGCTAGGTGACAGGGAGGGGGCTCACAGCTGAGTCTGGGGGACGGGAAGGGCAGTGGCAGTGGTCTGGGCCCAGCCCTTCTGGCAGAACAAACCTGCTCTCGGCTCCCCTCCCTGCCCAGCTCAGGCTGTGCCTGGTGCCTCCCACCCTGTTCCTGGGAAGGGCCCTCCCTCACCTACCTGCTGTGACCCAGCCATTTCCCAGACACCACCTAGTGTCCAGCCTGTCTGGCTGCCAAGAGAGTAAGCTCTGGGGCCACTCACGGTAACCCCAGCTTTCAAAACTGAGGAGATTGCTTTGAGGCAGGGGAGACAGTGTGTGAGTTCCGGGGTCCAGGGGTGTTCAGAGAGTCAGCATGATGTCTGACAGGTGTCTGTCAGATGAAGATAGAAACCAGGACTGCACTTTGTTGTTGTTTTTAAGCCATTGGTTCTGAGATTGTGTGATCTGGGACAATTCTTAATTGAACGTATTAAAATGCACATTTCCAGTTTAACAGATCTTGGGGGAAGGGCAAGATTGTACATTTCTAGCAAATTCCCAGGTGAATGGATGCTGCGGTCCTGTGGACAGCCCTTGGTGCGACCTAGGGGTGACCTGAGACAGCCAGTGCTGCAGTGGCCGGGTCCTCTGCAACTGGCAGGAGCTGACATCATCAGAAACAGTCAAGTTGTGGCCGGGGCTCAACCAAGCTGTACAGTTCCTGGTTGAGCTCTTCCTTCTCAATGATGAGCGGGTGTCCACTGTAATTATGGTTGACACCAGCTGACTGACTGACCAGCTCCTGCTAAGCGATTTATTTATGTGAATGACCTCATTTAGTCCACAGCTGTCCACAGCAGGCCGTGCGGGGCAGGCAGGCCTGGTGCTGAGCTTGTGAATACCTAGCTCCTAGGGTCACAAGTCCTGGAGGACATGGAGTCAGGTACCATAAATCAGGCCAGGAGTATCAAGTGTCTGGAGGCTTCTCTGAGTGACACTTAGCTGAGACCTGAAGAATGGGGAGATGGTAAGGGGGCGGAGGAGACCCCCTGGGCCAGATGGGAAGATGGTGGCGGACTGGAGACCCTGGTACAGACCTGTGCTTCTGAGAAGTGTTTGTTCCCTCCCAGTGGGCCTGGGGCTTGTCCCTGAGGCTGTCGCCTGTCAAGAAGGTACCAGCCTAGCCCCAAGGAGCTCTGCTCGCCCGACCACCCCTTTGCAGTTCGTTTGTGTTTATTGAACATCATGTATGTACCAGGCCCTGTTTTTGGTACCAGGAATCTAGCAGTGACCAAAGAGACAAACCCCTGCCCTCGTGGAGTTAATCCTGGTTGCAGTTGACAGACACAGACATCATAAGTCAAGAGATGGCAAGTGCTGTGGGCACAGGGCACAAGGAGGGTCGCGATTTCATCCTGGGCAGGAACAGGCCAGGGGTCTGTGGGTGTCTGGGTGGAAACACTCCAGGAAGAGAGAACAGCAAGCCCAAGCACCAGGGTGGCGGGAGGAGGGTCCGATGGTGTCTGAGAGCTTGGCTTCCTGCAGGATGAGGACAGAAGGACAGAAGGATGGTGGGCACAGGCAGCCCTGCACCCAGCGTCCCCACCAGAGCCTTCTGGCCAAGGTGTTGAAAGTGCACTGTCGGGGACCAAGGCAGGAGCCAGGAACCAGAGAGGTGGCGGAGGGGGAGGGTTGGGTCCAGCGAGAAGAGGGATTTGGGCCTGAGGGTTACCGAAGCCTGAGACGGCGGGCCACATGGGCGGGCTGGAGGGGAGGTGGGGTCCTCCTGGGATCTGCATCTAGGCCTCCAGGGGAGGTCCTGGTCCTAGGGGGTCAGAGCTGCAGTCAGGGCTGTGGGGAGTCAGCAGTGAGGTGGAGCCTCGGGGCCAGTTGAGATGGTGGCCCTTGTCTGTCACCAGCAACCCCAAAGTCAGCTCTTTGCCGCTCCCCCCCTCAGACTCAGCATCAGTGCAGTTGGCCTCTCTTCTGCCCTGGCGACCCCTATCCTGTCCCTAGACCCTGTGCCCCGGTCTTCTCCCTGCTGGTCACAGTGGGTGGCTGTGGAGAGGATGAGGGCCGGATGCTGTCCAGGCCAGGGGTGGCCCCAGTCAGGAGCCAGCAGCCAGCAGCCAGGGCAGGGAGCCAGATCCCATCAGGTTGTAGCAGTCCCCGTGGCCCTGTCCTCCCAGGACAGTCTGGGGCAGCTGGCAGGAGAGAGGAGCCCTGTCTGACTTGGGGTCACCTGTACCACGCCCAGTCACGTCAAGGGTCACTGCTGCGTGCCTCAGAGCAGCCAAGGCCCACCACCCCTGTCCTCTTGTCTCCGGGGACAGCTGCCCTGAACCAATGCATGGGTGGGACAGGGATGTTAACTGGGAATGAGACGCTCAGCTGGAGCAGGGTGTGCCGAGGCCAGCAGAGGGCACCAGGGGGCCCGGCCTCCCCAGCTGTTTCCCGCACTCGCACCCAGGACAAGCTCCCGGCTCTCAGGTGGGCAGGCTTGGGCTTGACCTGAGTGACTGTTGTCAGGCACTCGGGACCTCCGTGCCCTCATCTATAAAATGGGGACAAATCCTACCCCAGAAGTGTCATGAAAATTCAAACCATCATAAAAAGTTTAGCATGTTGGCCTGGCCCCTGGTAAGCATCCAGTATGTGGTGACCTTTGTTACACTGAGACCTGCCAGATGGCAGGGACCCAGGCACCCCAGGAATGGAGACTTGGGATATTGAACATTTGGGAGGCAGAGTCCAAAAAAATCTGTCTGGCCCTCTCCCTGGGCCATAGCTCTCTCTCCTTTCCCCCAAACTCTAGCCTTATGAGTATTTCTGGGATTGAGGTGGGAGCTGGGATGCAGGGAAGGACCGTCCCGAAGAGGCACAGTTAGAGATCTCAGCTAAGCCCCCGATCTCCTGTGACACAGGCGCTGAGGAGAGGAGCTGCCTCTGCGGCCATGTGCAGGGCTCCCCGTCCGGCCAGCATGGAGGAGGGACCAGGAACCTGCCTCCTGTGGGAAGGAGCTGATTTCTGGAGACAAGCACTGCCCAGCCCTGATCAGACGGCAGACAGTGGCAGGCTCCTGGACAGGGAGGGTGTCACAGATGTGCCTGCGGTTGAGAACGACAGCCCAGAATCCCAGGCACAGGAACTGGTTTGGCCACTGTGGTTGACCACTTCCGAGGGTGGAGACGGGCGACACGTCTGCAGCCAGGTGCCCACAAGGAACCACACGGGGCCACAGCCAGGGCAGGAGGCCAAGGCCACAGGTGGGCACCAGGGTGGCCGTTGCTGGGGGCTGATGGCACCCGACCTGCACATCCCCAGCTCTGCGTGACCTTGCTTGGCTCACTGGCTTTCCCCACCACTGTCCCCAGCCATCGGTTCCTGTAGTCGAGGACACCTCACCCAGGCACCCCGGCCCACCGAGATGGAGGTGTGGGTTGGGGCCCTTGGTGCCAGGCTTGTGAAGGAAGTCTGTTGAGCCCCCTCTGTGTCCCCTGATAGGGATCATCCGGGTCTGATGAGGGCCCCTGTCTCCGATGGGGACACAGAGCCTAAGAGATGGGACAGTGAGCACTGTGGGGCGAGGTCCCGAGTGA